AAAGCTAATATATTATGATACTAATTAAAATACTCGGATTAAAATTTAATAAGCTTAATTCTAAAGATATGATTTATTTATTTTTAATTTTTAAATATATTTCATTTATTCTTTGACACTCCATACATATAAACAGTGTATTTTAATCATATGCACCCGAATTTCCCCCTCCTGTCCCTAGACACCCCCTAAATATTCCCTCTCTCTCCTTCGTGTCCTCCCTTTTTTTTTCTTAACACACCGAGTCCAACTTGTACTGCCTGTTGGAATGTTGACTAATCTTGTTGACTTGATCTTGTGCAGGTCTTGTGTAAGTAACCATAGCAAGGATTATATGAGTGCAACAGCATTTCACAGCACTCCCCCACATCCTCTGAGTCTTACCTTCTTTTCACCTCTTCTTTGTAATGCTCTCTAAGCCTTGGGGTGGAGTAGGGGTTGATATAAATAACCCATTCAGGGATGAGCATTCAATAGTAAAGTATTTGCTACGTGAAAGTATGATTTTATATTGTTTGTTGATTCTGTATGCTCATATCTAGGGTCAAAATTTAGATGCTGGGGCTAGAAAGTCAGCTCAGTGATTAAGCATACTTGCTGTGCAATCATGAAAACCAGAGTTTGGAGCTCAGAATCCACATAACAAGGCAGCCATGCTTCATACTCCTGTAACTTCAGCTCCAAGTAGAGAAGAGGCAGTAAGATCACTGGGGTTTTCTGTCTTTCAACCTAGCCAAGAAAACACAAGCTCTAATTTCAGGAAGTGATTCAGCTTCAAAAGTATAGGCAAGGATTCATAAAAGAGGATACACAATGCCCTCTTGGGCCTCTGTGGGTGTGCACAGGTGTCCCTACACATACACTCATGCAGCTACTTAGAAATAAATAAAAGAGTAAATATTTTTAATCAAGGTTATGTCTATATTTGGAGACAGGGAAAATGTGTCTCACAAATATGGACATACTGTAATATGAACATTGTTTGGCACATAATGAACACCGAGTTCACCTTTCAGCTGTATCTACCAATATTTAGAAGCACTTCATAACAACAGTGTAAAATGCCCGTAATTCTTGATGTCAGTTGGACTTTTTTTAAGCCATGTAGAAAAATTTTTCATTTTACAATTTTTTCACTTTAAAATATACTGACAGCCTGGCATGGTGGCACATGCCTTTATTTCCCACACTAGGGAGGCAGAGGCAGGCAGATCTCTGTGAGTTTGAGGCCAGCCTGGTCTACATAGCAAGTTCCAGGCCAGCTATGGCTACAGGGAGACCCTCTCTCAAAAAGACAAAAATTAAACAAAATAAAATATACTGACATATTTCACATAGAAGTTTTCAACACAGAGAATTCCAATTCCTGGTACAAGTAGTCTGACATGAGAGTTTGTGTACACAGTCTACTTGCCACAGTTTAAAGTATAGAATACTAGAAATATTTTCAAATGTATCTTTCTATCACATGGATTTCTTTATATAAAGCTATTACCTTCTTATTCCTTGTTAAATGTCATATTTATCTTTAAAGGACTGA